CCTCCTTCTAGAAGAAATTATTACTATTTTAATCAATTAACAAATTTTTCTATGAATTTAAAAAAAAAAAAAAGCCCAGAGTGAGAGGTTGGAGAATTCCCAGCCCCTGGTTAGAAGACCCTGGAGGAAATCTTAGAGAAAAACAGTGCAACCCCAGGGAAAGAGAAAACAGGAAGTCACCAAAAAGAGAAAACAACCCTTGGCCCCCCAAGTTGTCTAGAGACTCAGATTCTAGCTCCAGCCCGTCCACCCATCGTCCACGCTCTGAGACCTGGGCAGAGTTTGCTCAGTATCTTCAGCTGGCTCACCTCCCAGAGAAGGGGTGCAAGGGAGGGGAGTGATGAAAACAAGGACACTCTTTCCAAGTCCCCCAAGGGGCTGAACTCTCATATCTCTGGGTAAGCCTTCTGCTCAGAACATGCTCCCCCTAACCACCCACCCTCACCCATCAGAAAGTAGGCTCCTGGTGCACACTGTGTCCCTCAAGGGTCTCCCAGACACCCTACCCACATTGGTGCCATTGACTCCATTTGGGCCATGAAAGCACTTTGTCTGTCTTCTCCAGCTCTTATCATGCTTGATTATAGTTGCTCCCATAACTGTGGGTCTCTACCATCAGCCTGTGAGCCCATTGGGTCTCGGTCTCTCCTTCACCATTTGCTCCTCAGCCTCCAGCACAGTGCTTGACACAAACAAATAAACAACAACAACAACAAAGAAAAAACCCACTGCCATCAAGTCAATTCTGACTCATAGTGAACCTCATTGGGTTTCTAAGGTGGTAAATCTTTACGGAAGTAGATTGCCCAGTCTTTCTTCTGCAGAGTGGCTGGTGGGTTTGAACCACCAACCTTCTGGTTAGTAGTCAAATGCCTTAGGAACTGCACCACCAGAGTTCCTTGTGCTGGACACAGTGAGGAATAAGTAAGAATGTGTTGCCTGAATAAACAAATGAATGAGGGAGAGAAGAAATGCGTAAACAAATGAATTATTGAGTAAATGCCTTCTCTTAAAATTTTTGGATAACTTACCTGAAATTTCCCAGGAGAGTTGGTGAGGATTTTTACAACATCTGTAAAAAGCAGCTCAAATAGCTTGTTGTTACAGTTGTAAATTCCTTCAGGGTGTCCCTGGTGTGTTTCAGAAGAGGGAAAACAAACACTGAACGCTTTCCCCAATCTTCTTCCCACCTCCCGCATCACACTCTTTTTTTTTCTGTCTCTGCTTCTCTGTCTGTCTCTGCTGCTCTCTCTCTCCTCTCTCCTCATTCTGTCTCTCTCTCTCTCTCTCTCTCTCACACACACACACACACACACACACACACACACTTGCGTTTTCCACCGTTTCCCTCCTACCCCATCTTCCCCAAGCGCTCCCTTAGCTCCATCATTGAATAGCCTGTCTATTCCAGATAGAGAAAGCCCTGGCCTGGATGAGGTCTCTCTTTTCTTCCTAACCACCGTGTCACCTCATCTGTACTTTGGGAGAAGTACCAGGGTAAAGAGTGTGGGCTTTTAGGGTTGAACAGACACAACTGGTTCCAGACCTGGCTCTTGCACATACTAGTTGTATGACCTTGGTCAAGAGCCCTAACTAACCTCTCTGAATCTCAGTTTCCTTATCAGGAAAATGAGGTAAGAATGCTCCCTTGGAGGTCAGCTACAAAGACTAAATGAGATAATGCTTGGAAAATGCTTAGCACAGTGGTAAAGCTCAATAAACATAGGTCTCTGGTTGCCATCTGTTCCATTAGGGTGATCGCTCTATGCTATCTGCAAGCATTAGTGCTCAAGAGGTCTTTGTTGGAGATGGGGAACACCTCTGGAAACTTCCCCCAAAGGTAACTGCATCCCCTTTCTGCTCCAAATGCGTCCCCATCCAGTGCCCGGTTCTCTCCAGCTTTGACCCTCTAGTTTCTTCTGCCCACTTTAATTTGGGAAGAATCTATCTGGATGAAGATGTCCCCAAACATGGCCTCTCCCACAGGTCATTGGATGAGCTTTTGGTAATGCTGAACATCTGGGGCCAGAACAGGAGACTGTCATTCCAAAGGCTTGGGATGACATTAGCAGTGGGGTATTTTCAAAAACATCCAGGACAACTCTTCTGATCTAAGCTGGGTGGATGCTCACTCCATACTAAATGAATGAGTCAATACCCAAACCAAACCCATTGACATTGAGTAAATTCCAATTCATTGAGACCCTATGTGTTAGTGTAGAATTACTTCCTAGGGTTGTCTTGGCTGTGATCTTTACAGAAGCAGATCCTTGGGCCTTTGATGACATTTGATGGTATTTGAACCACCAACCTCTAGGTTAGTAGCCAAAAGCAAACCATTTGCATCACCCAGAGACCTTGAATGAGGCAATAGAGGATGCTACATGAAGAAAGGAATAAATGAATGAATGATGAAACTGGTAAGTCTACCCAAAGGGAAGAAATCATATTTTTCCCCAGGCCTGTGCTCTGGACTCAAAACACAGGAGTTTATTATGAGGTTCTGCAAAGTGTAAAACTTAACTGCTCCCTAGTCCTTTATTTCTTCTCTCACCACACCCCAAACCCAAACCCAATTCCTCATCTGTTCTCTTTCCTGCTGTTTCCTCCATCTTCTCTCCCCCTCCCACTTCCTTTCATTTGTCACTTCACTCCCTCCTTTTAACTCCCACTTCTCCCCACAACCATTCTCACCCATCTCCATCCCACTGTGGTATTTGCAAACTTGGGGGTATTTTCCTTTCCCAAGACACTTTTGTAAGAGGAGGCTTTCGACACAATCATTTCACAAAACAGATTTATTTGATGAACCACAATGACTAACAGGGTCAGAAAAGAGCACAGACATTCTGAAGAGGGAGTGGGAGGTGGGGAGATGGAGGGAACATCATGGCAGGCAGCATCTTCTACCTTCCCTCCCAGCCCCACCAAGTCCCAGACAGGAGGTCTCTGTAGGTCACCCAGGATGGCCCTAGAGGGGCACTCTCCTCCCTTCTAGAAGCTTCCTCCTGCCCTGACTGGATGTTTTGAGGACAGCCCTGGATAGAGCAAATGAGCCTTGGAAGATTCTAGTCTCTCTCAGGGTAGACTATGCTGAGAGGAGCCCCTTCCTCTCTCCTCCTGGCTCTATCCCAGAGACAGCCATGATGTCCACTTACATCAAGCTAAGCTCTTCCTGCCTCCATGTCTGTTGTCTTGTTCCTTGTGTCCAGAATCTTCCAAAAATAAAATCCGGAATGTACACCCCGCCCCCATCTCACACCGGCTCCACCATCGGTTTCCTCCTCAAGATTTCTCTGGCAGCATGGAGGTCACCCATCAGCCCCACCAGTGCTGCCCAGCCCCTATCCCCAGTCCCCAACCCAGCAGGAGAAGCCAAGAACTCCCATCCCGATGCTGAGCCCAAACCCACCCAGTGCCTGTTATTAGATGCCCTTCTAGGAATAGGGCCATAGACCCTGAGAAAGGAAAAGTGAAGAGGGAAATGCTTATACATTCAAAGCAAGGTGGGGAGGCATGGGAAAGGAACCAGGAAAGCTTTCAACCAGACTCCTATTTCCCTCATAGAATTAGGGGATAAACAGAGACCCAGCTCAAAGGAATTCCCCAAGCCTTTGGCACCAGACCCCGCTGAGAGATCTCCCAGAAGGGACCACGGCGCAAACATAGACTTCTCTCTTAAAGCACGGACCAGCCGTTGGAGCCCCCAAATCCAGTGGGAACTGGACTCAATTTCATCTTATATTGCCTTGATGTGTCCCTTCTTCCTCACGGATTTTGTGCAAAGAGGAGAGAGTAGGTGGAGAGTGAGGAGTGGAAGGGGGTTTATATAAGTGACACAGGCCCACTGCTCTCCAGGGTATGAGCATCCATGCTTATATATACACACAAAGAGCAAGCATGTCAGTCCCAACCAAAGGGACTCTGGGTACCACCAAGAGCACCAGTGCCCAAGTAAACCAGCCCAGGGTGATGGGTTGAGAGGGGAGTCAGGGGAAAGACCCACAGCTCAAAGTCTGAAGGAGGTTCAAAGGGGCCAGGATATGGGGAGAAAAAAGCAGCTAAACTCAGACACTCCTTTAGCCCTACTTTCTCTACTTTTCCTTCTCCCTTCCCAACTCCACACTCAGATAGAGAAACCAAGAAGCCCATAGCTGCATCAACCCCATTGCTTTTCAATCCCTACAGAAAATAGGGGATAAATGAAAATGTCCAAGGAAATTTTCAGAAAGCATAACTAATCGGCATCTTAGATGGGCCACAGGATAGAAAGTGCCTTCCTGGGAAGGTGCTGGCTATCACTCCAGCTGTAGAGACTGAAATGATACTAAACTTGTCCAATTTTAGGGAAAGTTTTGGCGCTCCCAGCTGGCACACAGCCTGCACTCGCCAGCAGTCATTCCCTAACTCTCTCCGGGAACAAGATAAAGAGCTTGCAAGCTTCCGGATTCTTAACTCTTAGGAGCCTCCAGAAGGAAGAGGTTAAAAGGGGGGAAGGAGGGACTGAGGTATGGGAATAAGCTCTGGGAGAGGGGTTCAGAGCCAGAAGGTAAAGACTAAGAGTGAAGACTGCAGCGAGACAGGGAAAAGGAGAGGGAGGATGAGATAAGGGAAAGCCCAAAGGAGAGGAGGGAGAAAAGACTACTGGAGACCCAAGAAAAGGGATGGAGGAAAGTTAAGTTTCATTGAGCCAAGGACTCCCACATCTACACTTAGGATCAGTCTTACCACCTCCACTTTCTATAGATGGGGAAACTGAGGAGCAGAGAGGTTGAGAGGTTAAGTCAGTCTCACAGATACTAAGTGTGGGTCTGCAGGTTTAGTCTTGTTCAGCTATAACCCAAACGTCTGGGATAAGACTAAGAGGAGGGCCATGGCAGGGAGCAGGGAAAGGAGTGAAAGGCAATACAGAAGGAGTGGTCACTCTACCTGATTTGCAAGGAGCAAGGGCAAAGGCTGGGGCAGGGTGGAGGGCAGAGGGCTGCTCCGGGATCCCAGCCCTAATCAACCACAAGAGTCTCTTGGCTGTAGGGCATGGACTTCTCCTGCGTCTGCTCCCCACCCTTCCCCATGTTGGGGCTGGGCCCCTGGCTGTGCCCCGAGGAGTAGCTGGCCGACTTCTCCCCACTGCTACTGTGGGAGGTACCCCCACACCTGCTGTGTTCCCAGCAGAGCATGGAGGTGCAGGCCTGGCGGAAGCGGGGATCAAAGAAGGCATAGAGGAAGGGATTGAGGCAGCTGTTGACATAGCTGATGCAGGTGCAGTAGGGGAAGACGTTCAGGAGGAAGAGGTCGAAGTCGCAGGGCCAGTCCAGCAGGCTCCCCAGCATGTAGAGCGTCTTCACCAGGTGGTAGGGCATCCAGCACAGGGCAAAGGTGACCACCAGCACCACGATGATGCTGAGCAGCCGGCGGCGCTTCCGCAGGCCCTCGATGCGCTCCTTGTGGAAGTGGTTGGCAATGGTTTGGGCGATGAAGAAGTAGCAGGTCAGCATGATGGTGAAGGGCACCACAAAGCCCACGGCAGTGGAGGAGACCCCCAGGCCCACCTCCCAGGCCCACTCTGAGCTTGAGGTTGCCACCAAGGAGTAGTCCATGTAGCACTGCACTTTGGTGGTGTTCTCCAGGTTGTCAGTGGAACGGAAGACCATGACCGGCATGGCCAAGAGGGCAGCCAGCACCCACAGGACAGCCGTGGCCACAGCCCCGCTGACTCGCAGCCTCAGCCGCGCATTGGCCACAGGCCTCACAATGGCCAGGTAGCGGTCAAAGCTGAGGCCAGTGAGACAGAAGACACTGGCGTACATGTTGACAAAGATGAGGTAGCTGCTGACCTTGCAAGCAAAAGTGCCAAAGGGCCAGTCGTACTCCTGGCGGGTGTAGGTGGCCCACAGCGGCAGAGTCACAACAAAGGTCAGATCAGCCACTGCCAGGCTGGCAATGAAGATGTCAGCAGAACGCCTCTTCTCCCGGCTGGTCCGAAACACAGTCCAGAGGACCAAGCCATTGCCTGTGGTGCCAAGGAGGAAGACCAGCATATAGATGGCAGGGATGAGGTCCCCAGAGGACTTCCAGTCCGTGTACTCACACTCAGACTGGTTGTCAGCCCCATAGTAGTTGTCGAAATCGCCACCTTCAGCCATGCTGGGGAGTGGAGAGAAGACGAGCAGGGGACCCCAGGGGTACCAGCTCAGGAACTATGTCACCAACTCAGCAAGCACCGTGAGTTTCCAGCTGGAGCCTCAGAGAGTGAGAAAGGGCTAAAGGTGTCTTTGAGTGGACAGAGCCCTTCCCTGAGCGCGGGAGGAGTTCCCTCTCGCTGGTCAGGATCCTGGAGGATGAGTCTCATCTGCAGGCTTCCCTCCACCCTCCCCTGCCTCCCAGCCCAGCCAAGACACTTCCTTGCGCCCTCCTGGGTCTCTGTCTCCTCTTGGCTCGCCACTCCCTCCTCCCACCTCCAGACCAACCCCTCATGTGTGAGTCTTAAGATCTCTAAGTTACAGCCCACTTGTTTTTTTCCTTCTTGTCACTGGGCAAAGTGGACCCAATTGACCCCTGCTGTACTGGCCAGAATGTTATCTGGGGGTGGAGGGACCGGGACAGAGGCTGCTCTGCTCCTGGCCCCTCCTCCTCCCTCTGACTCCCACTCCTCTTCGCCCCAGTCTCTGTCCCAGTCCCTCTGATTTCCTCCGGCCACCATCTCATACCAACACTTCAGGACACCCCCTCCTCAATCCTTCCTACCCGCTTGTTCTCCCCCCGCCCACCATCCCCTCTATATGCGGCAAATCATGCAGATTGAAATCCAGCCTGACCTGGAAGCAGGAGGGCAGGGGGGAAGGAGGGTGTGAGATTTCCCTGCATGGTCCCAGCATCTGGCAAGCCCTCCAGTAGGCAAGTCTGTCCCCTTCTCAGCCCCCTGCACTCCCAGCCCCACTTCACCCTGGGGCCCTCTTCACGCTCTCCCCATCAGGCCACATCCTGGTCCCATCAGCCCTGACCCTTCCCCCAGAAGCTTTGTGGCTTACAGACAACAGGACAGGGGGATTACTCTAGAATTCATAAACTGTTGGCAGATTGCAGTCTGCAGATTGCGTAAAGTTTTGGAGGGTCCAGGACAGACTCGCAGTACAAAAGAAACCCCAGACCAAAGGACCTTTCATTGAGTCATTAAATCTACAGCGGAACTGAGGTCCCACAAGGTAAATATCTTGCCCAAGGTCACAGTGAGTTTTGTTGCAGTTGCTTTTTCTTATCTTCTTCTCCAAGCATATAACACAGTGCCCGTCATATCACAGGTATCAATAGATGGTCATTGAGTGAATGAGTAAGTAGATGGATGAATTAAGGATAGAGAGGAATCTGTATGAATAAGAATTACTATATGGATTACTGTGTGGTAAAAGTAGGGATATATTTCCATCCTCAAGCTCTTACATACCTCCCCTGGTTTTTCTGACCATATAGAGGCAGGGAGCTGCAGTTAGAGGAGGAGGTAGGGAATAGGGCAGCCTCTGAGCAGCTACTATGGGCACAGACCTATAGAAATTCACTTTGCCCCATTTGGTCACCTCTTCAGGACCTTAGGGCAGGGAAAAAAAGGAGGAGAGATATGGTAAGATAAAGAATATGTACTCTTTCTACCATCTCCCTAAGTGGGGAGGCTGACAAAAGTTGGGCAAGACTAAGGGAGACCAAAATCAGGAGCTGGGTCTACATCCAAGGCAAAGCCTTCTAAGCCGGAATCCGTTGGCTCGAGGGATGGTTGGTCAGAAATCTTCTGCAGGAGAAGGGGAGAACAATGTGCAACAAAACTCAAAATCATAACCAAAAAAAAAGACCAGGTTTGCTGGTCTGATAGAGCCTGGTGAGACCCCTGAGACTATGGCCCCTAGCCACCCTTCAGGTCTGGAATTGAACTCACTCCTGGGGCTTCCAGCCAAACAATACACAGGCATATGGAGTAAACATTTATATCTGGTAGATACACTTCTTGGAACGATCAGTCCTGGGAGTACAGAAGGGCAGTGTTTGCACAGAGAGACAGCTCGGGGGGTGAGAGTACTTGGAAGTGAAGAACACAGGGAAGAGGTAGGTGAGCATGGGGAAGAGAGCTGTCACATTGTGGGGAATTGCAGTCCTCATGAGACAAAATGTGTATGAACTGCTGTATGGAAAATGAATTTGCTCTGTAAACTTTCACCCAAATCACAATAAAAATTTTAAAAACTGAAAAAGAAATCTTCTGCAGGGCTTTTACATTGTGGGTCTCAAACTCAAATACCTACAGGCACCAGGCCGAATGTGTGTATGAGTAAAGTAGTCAGCCTGAGATGATGAGGAGTGCTGGCAACCGCGGCAAACCAGAGCACGCACCCTCCGCCCAGAGAAGACCTGCTCGGCTGCAGGCTCTGGTTGCCACGTAGAAATATGGAGCCCAGCATTTCAATGCTTTCTTTTTCCACTTTTCAGAATTTTGAATTCCTGATTTTTTATGAAATTTTCCTGATTTGTAAATCTGGGGAATTAATTTCATTTAAAAACAAACAGATCAAACATATCCTCGGCCCCCAGTCGATGCCCTTTGAATAGGAACTTGCCAAGAATAGGAGGTTGGAGAGCAACAGGGAGGTGAGGCCAAGAAGAAGGAACATATAGTAAGTCCAAAGATGGAGAAATGAAAACAAACATGGCAGAAGCCTTAGGGTGCAATGAGAAGATACAGGAGTGCAGGCTGGACAGGAAGATAAGAAAGATCCTGAGAGTTTGGGATGACCTACAGGCAACATAGAATGATTCCAGGCGATGTGGAATAATTACGATGTTGGTGCTTCTCATGCAGTATCCAACACTGGGATTCTTCCAAATGTTTTATGCATTTTATACATATATTTTATCTCTTTTAATCAGCACAACACTATAAGATAGATACTCTCATTAGCCTCACTGTACAAATGAGAAAATGGAGGCGTGAGGAGGTGAAGTAACTTGGCCAAGGTCTCCCAGCTTGTAACTGACAAGGCCAGATTTTGAACGAAGGCTGTCTTAAGCCCTTGGACTACCATGCCCCAAAAGAAAATATTCTAACTATTTTTAACATTTAGGGGTTTGGACTCTTTTAAGCAATAAACAACTGTAGGATTGACCCATCGACCTATGGTTAGCTCGTTTTTGACAAAGGACTGAAATCCATTAAGTGGGGAAGAGATGGTCTCTTGAACAAATAATCCTGGCAAAACTGGATACTCATTTGCAGAAAAATGAAACAAGATCCATACTTCACACCATACACAAAAACTAATTCCAGACAGATCAAAGACTTAAATGTGAAACCTAAAACTATAAAGTTTCTCAAGGAAAAAGTAAGGGCGAACTTGTTGTTGTTGTTGTTGTTGTTGTTATGTGCCGTCGTGTCAGCCCCGACTCATAGCGACCCCTCCTTGGGTTGCCAAGGCAATATCACTACGGATGTAGATTGCCCAACCTTCCTTCCAAGGAGTGGATGGTGGGTTTGAACTGCCAGCCTTCTGGTTAGCAGTCAAGTGCCTTAGGCACTATGCTACCAGAGCTCCCATTGTTGTTGTTG